TGTGCCCAACCTTAAATGTAGATATGACAACCTACGAGGGAAAAACAATTTGAACATAATTCTCAAAGCCAAGTTTACTGTTATCCATGCCAGAAAAAAAAAAATCAAGCAATGCAACCTGCTTGAAGTCTATGACTTCAGTATGGAAGAGAGATAGACATCATCATACAGTTTAGAAAACACAACGGGTCTGAAGGATTTTCCTGAGCGGAGAGTTTATGTTTTATTCATTGGGTTCCCTTGACTCTTTCAGGAGGTGCTTTTGAAAAATTCATAAAAATACATCTGCTATCTTGCTTGAGGGTAAAGAATGAATTATTGAATACAAAAGAAGGAGCTCCGCAGACATAGAATATCACACATGTAACTTTTATGAAGCCGTATTTATGAATGCACACTTTGGTTTTAAGTGGATGCACGTTGTGGACGTGGAATCAGAAAGAAGGCATGCTTTGCTGGTAGGAATTATGTTTGGATGCAATGTCTGAAATCTCTGGAAATGTCCTGAAATTCATGGAGCAAGTAAGAATGAATAATAATTTATTTGCAGATGTTTTTTTCTGGCGCTCTAAGAATCTTGGATTAGCCAAACTTGGACACTTACTTTAATAAAGAAATCATTACAAATTGAGAGGGGGTGGGCAATGCAATACCAGCACTAATAGTAAATTCTTTTTATTCTGGACAAGCTTAATTCTTTTTGTTCTGGACAAGCTTCCAAATAATGTTGACATGAAGTATATATGTACGTACAGTCAAACCTGTCTACAGCTACCGCCCAAGGGAAACAAGGCTCTGGACACTTGACTAAAGAAATCAGAAAAAGAACGGAAGTGAGGGCAATACAGCACCAGGCCCCTTCTGCTTTCTTTCAGTGGAAGATGCAGCAATCACGTTCTACTGACAAAAAAGAAATCCAAAATGAGGGAAAAGCTATCTGGGTGAGGGATCGGGGAACACTTGCTATAAGTTATTTAGCCTTCTCTTAGTTTATTTTGAATGTTTTATAGTATGGAGTGCTGAATCATGCATGAACAAACGGTGGTCCGACCCCGTTGGGGGGTACCCTGAACATCACACCTTCCTCGGATACATGCTCACGAAAACACCGGCCATCTTGAATGTACGATTTGCGGTAATTCGCACGGAAATTATTAATGATGCCATGAGATTAATGGTATCATGGAAACATCCCATGTGTATATGTGTTCACCTTGCATTCTTTCGCATGTTACTGAATAGGAATCATGAAAGAAAGCAAAAATAAAGTATATTAACAGTGGCAGCCATCTTGAATGTACGATTTGCGGTAATGCACATAGAAATTATTAATGATGCCATGAGATTAATGGTATCCTGGATACATCCCATGTGCATATGTGTTCACATTGTCTTTCTTTTGCATATTACTGGATAGGAATCATGAAAGAAAGAAAAAATATCAAAGTATAATATCTTTTACAAAACATTAACATATAGAAATAATTAATTCTGAATCATAGTAATTAATTATATGAAAGAATGTTCTGTGAATCATTAAATACTGAAATGAAAAGTGAACCTACCCAAAAGTTAGGCTTGTTGCTTGTACTGTAGGTTCACTAAATCCCAATACTAAGTAGAGGGATGTGCAAAATGTTTTCTACAATGAAGGTCCCTAATGTGGTTGTGTGAACGATGATAAGCCATTTGATGTATTATTTTGTCTGGCCGTTATTCAGCAAAGATATAGCTTTAAGTTTAGGAGCGTGAACGGGTTGCAATTTAGGGTTTATAATTAGAGTTAGTGTTAAGGTCTAGACAAAGTATTGGGTGAACTGTAGTTGGGAATTTCCCTTTTATATGAAATTGACAGTGTCAGTTGCCAAGGGAGCATATGTTTTGCAATCATTTATGAACATAGAGGCGTCCAAAACCAGGAACAAAACCTGACTATTGTGTGATTTGACAACTTGCCATCAATACACTACAAACTTTTTTAGAAAAATAAACTCGAGGGCTATTTTAATACCCTATTATACATCTCATAGAAATCATGTTTGGATTACATAATACCTTGTCATGTTTTCACGTTTCATTAGGTGAAGCACAAGGCTTTTGAAATTGCTATAAGCTGATCATGTTCCTGATACTCTGCTACTTCTATTTATTTGGAAAAGAAGAAATTCTCAAATGAATTAAGAATATACAGTAGGATTTGCTATTTCGAAAGTAGTGAATCATATTTACTTCATTCATCTTTCCAGTAATCCTTCCAAAAGGAAAATAAACCTGGACCATTCTTTCAATTTTGAAAGAATAACTATGAGTAGAAATCATTCCAACTATACAGAGATGATTGCCTCCTTAGTTACCGGGCTATGTGATGGTTTATTGCGAGAGACACATTTAGACCAGCGATCCAATAAATGAGGCATTCTTTAGAAGTAAAAAGCATTATTCATTCATGTAAAATAATCATTGATGTGAAATTCAATCAGGGATGGACGAGGAGATGAGAAAGAGAGAGAGAGAGAGAGGAAAAGACGAAATCAATTTTCCAGGAAACATCTTCAGGGAGGAGGAAGATGAGATACAGGTCTCTAATATCTTCTTTACGCATTCTCTTCCCGTCTTCCTTTCCATTGGCAGGATGCAGACGCAGTCGCAATGGCACTAAGAGTTTCGTGATGGAATTTAATCAGTGTCTTTGATGCACGCAGGCTTTCCCATGCAGCTCAGGAATCAATTTGGGCCATCCCGATTCTCATTTACACCTCCTTGTAGTCCCTTATATCCCGATCTATGCCTGGAAGTTGTTTTTCCTTTGTGTTTGTCTCTATAAAGTATGAAGATAAATGTTTTTGTTCTTCTGCTCTTCGTAAGTTTTTTGTTGAGTGGGGGGGGGGGGCAAGGTTTAGGGATGTAAAGCAAGTTATGAAGTCTAATGTTTTAAAGATTTTTCCTTCAATTTTATGTTACATGTGTGTATGTGTATGTGCGTTTGGGGGGACGGGGTGCTGACAGGAAAGAGAATGAAGATTTGTTTTTCTTACTTTCTTTATACGTCTGTCATTTCTTTCCTTTTTATATGTATGTACATCATTTTAGATTTCAAAAATGTATTTTTCCTACAGTGACTAATGACTCAACATTTAAGAAAACCACCTGGGACAGGCTAATCTGTCTATTAAGGTCACCAAAGGAAGACAGAAAAGATGACCACTGTAGGTAGATAGCCTTTGTAAACAGGTTCAACAACACATATTTTCTTGAGTGAGACTAAATACATTGCCACTATACACAGGTGGACTGTTAGAGTTTGCCACGCTGGCAGGTTTGACTACGTGTGTTTTGTTATAAATCTCCAAGATTCTCAGCAGTGAACAGTACTCTGTAAACAAAACAGTCGGCTTGACTGGATGCAACGATATTGGGTATACCTGAGGAGAGGAAAGTAAATAGTCGGTTCAGTTGTTGTTGGCAACTGTCAAGAGTATTGCTCAACCGAAACATGAGATTCATGAGGTTGGTCAAAGTGTTTGGAGACAAGAAATTGAGTTTTTTGGGCGAAAGAATTATTTATCAAGAATCTGCAATTTTGGGCTGGAATGAAATAGTGACTTATGTGAATCTGAGACAACTCTAAATATTTTTTCCATCAAAATTCTTGATATAATAATAAGAGTCATTGCAAAAATTACAATTCAAGATAGTTCTATGATCAAAATAATTAACAATTTCTTGATATATGGTTGTCATTTAATGACTTTGGCATGCCACATCTGCAGAGCTGATCAATGTACTATTTTTGTATAAATTTTATAACATATTCAAGTTTATTCTTCCTGATTTGCAAAGTACCTCAAGACTCACTTGTAATCCTCTCCTACAGAAAATGTAATTATCATAACTTTATGAAATTCTATTAACTATATTCCAACCATTTCTCCCTATGTTGCTTTTACCTTTATAGAGCTAATATCATTACTTTTCCATCCTCCAAAGTCTCTGGCCACAATCTATGTACATTGTAGACCTGATAAATGAAACCTTGTGTACTTTCCTTCCGGCATTATGCAGCTCCAGTATTTCATTAATTATTAACTATTTTGTTTCAAGGTTAATCTATCTTTCTTTAGCTTCTGTCGTCTTGCGATTAGCAAGATGAAGTGTCTGGTAGACTGATTAACAAAACACAAAAGTATTCCTAATTTTACTGACATTAATGTCATTTCTTGAATCATTTTTAAGCACCATTACTTTTAAATGGCCTGTGTAGTGCCATTCCATTGCACTTTACAATTTTTTTCTCACAGTTAGTCACCCTTGTATTCATCTACATGAATTTAGACAAGGCTTTCACCTTGAGAAGAGTTTAAGTTATTCATGTTGTCAATATAAATCATATGATCTACCCTTTAGAGAATACCATTCAAGAAAATGAATGGTTTTCATGTAATAGCTTGTAAGTGAAATAAATGTCTCATCTCAGTTGTTGATGAACTTTTTTTTTTTTTTTTACAAGGAAACATAACTCTTTCAATGGAAAGCATATAAAAAAAAGAGGTTAATTTGTCTAAAGATAGACTATCTACAACTCAAACTGTTTTTTTTTTAATGTCATGTTGATTTTAAATTCTATGAATTATTTCTTTGCCAATTAGAAGTGATATGTTTTTTTAGGTTACTTAAATCTGATGATATATCTGTAAAATGCTCTATGACTACAAATAGAACATGTGAATATATTCTTTATAGATTTGTCTTAAAATGAAACAAAAACATAGGTAAATGTTTTATGATGAACAATATATAGTGAGCGGAAAAATTGTGGATTTTCATTAAAATCAGTAAAAAATAATATTCCTCCAGCAATGCATATATCTTTAAGATCATTAATATAAACATAACTATCTGATTAAATAGTACCAGTGAGTTTAAAATTCAATTCATTTCAAATTAGGCAATTCTCAAGATTGCCAGCAGTAATATATCTTTACTTTATAGCCTTTTGAATAGATTTGTGAGTGTTTTCAAATCGAGTAGTGCCTTTAAGTAAGTCTGTACATTTGCCTATATTATTACTACAATACTAGACAGAGTGCATGACATATTCATGCCGTAGGCCTAGGTAATTACTTAATATACATGTAAGCTCTCTAAGTACATGCAATTATTACTACCATGCCCCAATATCGCCAAATTTTTCCCTACGCACTTGAGTCCCCGCCACACGCCTCACTTTATTGAAAGCCTTCCATTCATAGGCACATCCCAGCTTTCTACTCACAAGAGACAAAATCCACATAGAAACACACACACACATGGAGACACCCACGCCACATCGCATGCTTACAATGCACAAAGGCACTTAAGTCAAACGCATCCTCTGCATGTACACACACACACACGACCGGCATACACATCTCCTCCACAAGCATCACACACATACACGTAATGCACGTCTCCTACACCACCATACTCACCCACACACATGCACACACACCCATACACACGTTTCCCACTTCAGTCCCATGCATTAGGAAATGTGGGCTGGGAGTGAGTGTGGGATATTAAAAACCATTTCATTAGGGATTGCTGTGTGTTGTGAGCCGATTGTTCCGTTGTCACTCTCACTTCGCACGGCAGACAGGCAGGCTTTGGCTAGCAACCTGTTCCAATACAAGCTGGATCCTTACTCTTGGAATATATATTATTAGCAAGTTTGCGATCGACGCGACCTCAAAACGGTGTCTTTTGTGAGTACATGAACAAACATTCCAAAATATATTCATCTTTTATCATGATATTTCATTTTTGTATCCTTATTCATGACTGCAGAGATAAATAATGTGTGGACAAAATGACCAGTAGGATATTTTGTGAATGGGCATGCATCTGTTTATAATAGGCGACAGCAGTGTGTCAAAGAGGTGACATAATTTGAAATGTACATGGAAGATTTATTTACTGTGTGTTATGAACAAGGTTTTCGAATCTGACCCTGGTATATTTTTGGTAATTCATGTATAAAGCTATTCTTTTTATGCACTTTTTGAACAAAAAAGCGCAGTAAGTATAAATTACAAGAAATACATTTATCTGGTTGATTCAAACAAATGCTTGCAAATTGGTTTTTAAATAATGAATTTACATGTTATTGATGTGAAAATTGTATGTTTCTATTTGAATATTAATACGTGTGATGTTGCCAGTTACCACTCCACAATCATAATACACACTTTACATGAATTGGTATCTAAATTCTAAGCATTTTTGCCAGAAATAATATTCAGAATCAATAAAAGTATTTGCTTTGTAAACTTCTTTTCAGTTTGATGTTGATAAAGTAAGTAAATAAATTAAATTCAGTAATACTGTTCATCATGTGTTATACAAAAATCTTTTGCATTCTATAACAGCTATAGATGTTATTTCTGTTACCAGTATTGTCATCATACATGTCCTTGCTGACTTATTTTGTGAATGAAAACGTAAGGTCAGGTTTTGCTGCGGCCATTTTAGATTGATGTCTGTTTTGTGGTGTTAGCCACTCATCCAGATCTAATACACTTTCTGAATCGAGCGTCTGGAAATGCAATCCGTGGGAAGATTGGGCTGCGTAATTACACCAAGCACAACTGCAAGAATTTTCTTACAGTCAAATCTGCTAAAGGAACTTAGCTACCACCTGTATAGAATGGACACTAGTCTTAAAGGACATGCAGTTTTTGGTTTCTTTTTTTACTGTATTTCTCATTGAAATATGTTTTTATTAAGACAACTAGAAACAACTTTAAGATCAACTCCATAGATATTTGAATACCTTATTTTACATTATGCCATAAACACTATATTTGGATTGTGAAATGGGGTTCGGACATGTCCCCACATTTTAATTATGATAAAAAATGATGATGATGATTATGAAGAGGAGGAGGAGGAGGGGAGTAGGGGAAGAAGAACAACAACTACAACAACAACAAGAATTAGGCATGTGTATCTAGTTCTGTATCTTAAACAATAAGTAATGGACAAGGATACATAATCGCCTTAGGTTGACCGTGGAAAAGTCTTAGGGATCATGATTATTTGATCCTCCACTGAAAGATCACCTCTACCACTTTTCTCTTTATGTATATATATATACAGGTCTCAGTCTATTATGTCATTTTAAATTTTAATTATCTTTTAGCCCCCCCCCCCCCCAAAAAAGAGTAGTGAATCAGCAGTAGATGTGAACCCATTTTAAAGAAACCAAATATTTTTAATTTTGTTTATGTATTCAGCATTTTAGAAGAAAAAAAGTACCTATAACATATGAAATAAATCACAAATAATAGACATCATGATACAAAACAGGCAAGGAGATACGCATTTTCTGGTTCTTGTGACTTGTGCTCCAACAATGCTTGCTACACAGTCAATTTCATTATTCAACAAAGTCCTAACTTTAACCGTGGACCATAAACCCTACCTCATAGCCTAACCTAAAATCCATTCTTTTCCTGCCCTTGTTCTAACCCTATCTATTCCTTTCATGAAATATTTCAGGAAATGTCACCAGAGCAGGTGTCAGGCCAATTATATTTTCATAAAACACAACAATAAAACAAAAAAAGGGGGATTGTGAACATAAATAAATGCATGTTAAGAATTCTCCCTACATATATCATTTTGAATAGGAGATTAAGTTGTCATGGTCACATGTAACCCTGAAAACGTTACCCACGATGTAGAATTTCCACCGTGAAAAGCATCACTGATACTTCACATCTTTTATTTCTACAAAAGGGTTAAAGCTTATCTGCCGTAGTTTACAGGAGGGATTAGACTGCCCTGCAAGGTCACTCGACAGGTGGTTATCTCATCAGCTCAGCTCTCAGTTAACATAAGAAAAAGAGGATCATGGGGGACCAATGGTCACCGATTAGGCATTGTTTGTTATAAAGAGGGCGCAAGTAGCTACAATTAGTGCAGTGGGCCTTTAAGTCCTCGGAGGATTAACCCTTTCTCTATGGGAACCAGGTGGTCCGTGTATTAAGCCTATGGGAATTATTGAATTCAGTAGTCGATGGGTTTAACTAAATTTCTACAGAGAGTACGTGCAAGGTGACAAGTTTGAATGTCAATGGAAGTACGTTATCACTGTTTTATCAATGTGGGAACCACACCAGCTGGTTTTCCAGAAGTACCTTGTACCGAAGGATATTTGTCTACAACTCTGACAACATGTCATTATGATTATGTGTATTGCAATAAATTGAGTCACGATCAAACTAAGAGGTCTTTTTCAAGAGAAGGCCTAATAATAAACCTGATCAGGGAGCTTTTGGGAGTAAATGACTGATTTAAGAAAATTACTTTGTCAAAAGTGAAGAGCAAAAATTGGCAGATTCTATGCCCAGTTAAATACTGTTTAACTCAGTTATGATCACAACTTAATAACATTCAATCCAAAAATACAAAAGTTGTCCATTGTCATATGACGCGTTGTAAACCAAGGTTTGTAACGCGTCGAAACGCGTCATATGACACACATAAACCTATGTTTGTCGACAAACCTCCTTTGTGAATTTGGGCCAAACTCTCTGAATGAATCAACTCTATGGCAAATTTACAATCATTTCAATTGTCAAAGTACTATTTAAAATAGCATTTTTACCCTCAAGAAGAATACTCTTAAAAACGAAATATCAGCTAAATCATCATAAGATGCTTTTCGTTGTTCCTTGTTGTGAGATCAACTCACATGGACTAAAGTTTCTCTGACAATTTTGATGGATATTTTTTTCTCTATGTTAATGATATTCATAACGATTCATAATGATCAACAAGGACAAAAAATATACATGGGAAGACAGATTACAAATTCGCCCACATACTACTTCATTCTCAAAATGTCAAAAAGATGCTCAGATGAGTACTTCTTCGTTGCCTCTCTATACTGAATGGAAAAAACATAGTGAGGGGGCGGGCATTATTATTTAACACATGTTGAAATGCATGAAGTGTCTAACCGTGCTTAGGGGCATTTGTATTAAAGTGTACCGGTCAAATGGAAGATAATATGTGTACAGCTAGAATGGATGCAATGAACCTCAAAAAAATTAACCTGGCTTTCTATGGGTAATATAACATAATGGGTAATATAACATAAATCCCTGCCTAGGGAACTCAAGTCATACTTGTGTTCCATGCTATATCTATTCTATGTGAGCGTGTACACTTGCGTTAACTACCGGTAGTCTACCAAGGGAAACGCTTTACAGTTCACTGAGAAAGTACTTGAATTGCAATATCTCTTTGTAAAAGTAACGTTTGAAGCTTGTATTTTGATTACAGTATAGCCACATAGGGTCCCTTACATCCAAACTGAAACCTGGTTTGGTGATCAGTACTCTTTAAGATAAGACGAGAAATGTTTGAGAGAGACCTACGTAGTGAAGTGTTTTGGTCCAATAGATATTGAGAAGTAGAGTCACTCAGGAGTGTTGTGTAGCATAAAGGTCGATTGCTAGCATCAAGTTGTTGATTTCATCATCTTTTTTGTGCCGACATAAGGGCTGTTCTCATTAGTTCAAAACAAGTAATGGACTTGACACGTTATTAGAATGAGCAGGTAAACAGACCTCTTTGAATACTTGACAGAAATCTGGTGTTTCTTAATGATTTTATTTGATCTTTAAGCAATGTACATGAACGATTTTTAAAAAAAACAAGACAATGCTTTACGTTTCTCATAAAAGTCAGCACGATGGGAAGGTGATGAATGAAATTCTCTTGATTCAATTATTCCTTTTAGAAAATCTTTTAAGATTAAGGTTTAAATAACCATTCAAGAAATGCCAAAGTAGTTGAATTTGATATCCATTACCAATATTTTTAAAGATTTTTCTTATTCATTAAAATGTGCGAAAAGAAAATAGAAGATTTAACAAAAATCTATTAGGCTCTACCAAAATAGTTCTCTTTCTCAGTCCCATTCATTCAAATTTATGTTTGGAAGGACAAGCCTTGGTATGCTACTCTGCAAATGTGCATTGTGATATTCAGCAAATGTAATTTCAAGAAAAATTTGTGAGTTTGTTGATATTTTTCTGGTCTAAAGAACATAGCTGCTGCTTGGTAAACACTTTAGAATCATTTTGAGCCAGTTTCTCTCAAAATAAATATTATTACCTGAACTTCAGATTCACCTTGAAGTATATCATGGCTGATTGCATTCAAATGAGAGGTATGTTTACTGCCCTAGCCTAATGACGTCATAAGATACCAAATATGATGATTGTGGAGATTGGTTTTCAGTGGTAGCATGTTTTAGTCCTTCGAAGAAAAGCAGCATAAACAAAAGCACACTAGTATTGTATCTTTCTTCAAGTATATATTTTATAACTACAATGCTTTAATAAAGCAAATGGAAGGTAACTTTCATCTTAATATATACACCATACCGATCAGGTTGGAATAACTTTTTCTTACCTTTTTTCATGAAGTGATTGTGAAAATTATGTGATTTATTACTGATAGATCAAGTTTCTATTCCCTCAGAACATTATTGATCAATCTCTATGACTCCTTAGATTGATCGCTATCTTTATTGTCAACAGTGTACAAGGAAACTTAAAGGACATGTACGGTAAAATGAACAAATCAAAGTACCCTTTGTAAAAGTTCGGTATATTTCAGAAAAAGAATCCCTTGCAGAAACAATTCTACTCTAATATTATTCCAAACTGACAAAGGTATTACAAAAGTA